CCAAGAGGATGGCATGATCTCTAGTATCAAAGGCCGCTGAGGGATCCAAGAGCACCAACAGGGTCACACTACCCCGTCAATGCTCAGGTGGAGGTCATCAGTCAGAGAGACCATGGCAGTCTCTACTCCTTATCCTGTCCTGAAGCCTGTTTGAAATGGATCGAGATAATCGGTTTCATCCAAGACAGCTTGGAGTTGGGAGGAAACTGCCCTTTTAATCACCTTGCTCAGGAAAGGGAGCAAGGAGACTGGTCTGTAGTTATTTCTATGCAGGGGGTCCAGGGAAGGTTTTTTCAGGAGTGGCTTAACCGCTGCCTCCTTTAAGCAAGATGGTACACTACCTTCCCTGAGTGATGCGTTGATTGTGTCCCGAAGGAACACCTTCAAAGCGACCCCCCCCCGGACGACCAGCCATGATGGACAAGGATCAAGAGGGCAAGTCGTCTTCCTCATCCTTCCAAGTAGCTTGTCCACATCATCGGTACTCACAGACTGAAAATGATCCAGTAAAATGCCATCAACGGAGTTCCTGGATGCCTCAGTTACGGATTCTGCTGAAACATTGGCATCCAAGTCAGCTGTTATCCGAGAGAGGTTATCCGCAAAGTAGGAATTAAATTCCTCACAGCAGGCTGTCGTAGGGTTAAATAGGGGGTTTGGCGCAGGAGGAACCGTTGTCAACTCCCCCACCACCCTAAACAGCTCTGCCAGGCGAGAATCTGCAGATGCAATACGTGCAGAACAGAAAGATTTCTGCACTGCATGTAAAGCCTCCCTATAGGAATCAAGGTGCTTCCTAAGGCAAGTTCTATCAGATAAGAGACGAGTCCTTTACCATACACACTCTAGTCATTGTCCGGCTCACTTCATCCTCCTAAGCTCCTCTGTGTAGCAGGGCCTACGGTTTGAAGCAGGCTGGAAAGGACGCTTGGGAGTGATTGTGTCAATAGCCCTGGTGAGGTCGGTGTTCCAAGTATTCACCAAGGCTTTAACAGAATCACTGGCGTTACCAACCATTAAACCCTGTAAGGCTTTCTGGAAACCAATTGGTTCCATTAGCCTTCGAGGGCAGAC